CGCTCCCCCCCCTCCCCGGTGAAAAGTTTCTTACATTTATACATGATTTAAGACACGCCGATATATAAATTACTGTCTCTATATATACTATGTATAGGCAGCAGGGCCAGTCCGTGACGAAGGGCACCACCGGGGGCTTCTGCTCATTTCCCTCTGTCCTCTGTGTAGTGCTGGAAGCGGGTGAAGCTCATGAAGACCTGCTCCAGGGAGATCTGGCTCACCGAGTAGTCCTCCAGGCGGTACTTCTCTTTGGCTTTCTCCAAGGCGCCGAAAACCTGCAAGGGACGATGGCACGGCAGTTACCGCGACGGAGAACCCTGAAGGAGCGTCTCCCTCCAGGGAGAGCCGGAGGGGAGCGAAACCTCCGCCGGCAGAAGGGGGGTGGGATGCCCGGAGGTGGGTTACTTAGCACCATACATGACCCCATTTAAAAATGTATGGTTTATATATGTATTTTTATGTGTATATATATATGATATTTCTGTATATATGTGGCTTTTGTATAGCCCTGGGCCCAAGGTTTCTGCTCAATATATTATATGTGCAAAAAAATTATATAAAATTAAGAACCTTTATAGTAAATATGCTATATATAACGATCTGTATATAGTATACAGTTTTTTGTATAGAGGTTTTTTATATATAGTATACAGAGAGTTTTTTGTATATAGTATACAGTTTTTTCTATATAGTATGTAACTCATAGCTTTTATATATATCTGTATACTATGTACTCTCTATAGCACATAGAGTATATATAGCACATATAGTGTATATACTCTATACTGTATATAGAGCACATATAGTATATATACTCTATACACTGTATACTACATACTCTATACTATATATACTCTACATAGAGTATATAGAACACACACATATATAAAACTATATATAGTACACACTATATACATAGTATACAGTACGCATATGAAACTATATATAGTATACACTATATACACAGTATATAGTATACAGATATATACAAAAACTATATATAGATGTATACTATATATAAAAATATATATACACTATATACACATAGGCATATACTATATATAAAAAAATCTATAAATAGACATAAATATATGCACATACATAAATATATACATATATATTTTGGGTTTTTTTTAATATATCTGTCCCCGGGGTGGGCTCTAGCAGGTCCTGCGGCTCGGTAACGCCAATGCCCGTAGCCCGGGTGGGACAGCAGCGGTCCCGCGTGCGGCGGCCGCAGCAGGCGCCGGGGTGCGAGGCGCTGCCGGGGGCCGAGGGGCAGCAGCGGGGAGCAGAGGGGTGCTGGGGGGGTCGACGCTCATCCAGCGGCGCCATGGTGCCAGCAGGGAGAGGCAGGCTGGGGAGGATGCCCGTTCTCGGCATTTTTAATTAGCCTGTTATTTACAAATCACCTGGATTTTGGACAGAGTGGCTCTGGAAGAAAAGGAGGATGAGCTGAGCGTGACAGCAAACACCCCCTGGTGTTCCTCACGGGTCCGTACTGGGACCAGTGCTGTTCAACATCTTTGTCTCAGACATGGACAGTGGGGTCGAGCGCACCTTCAGCAAGTTTGCCGATGATACCAAGCTGTGTGGGGAGGCAGACACGCTGGAGGGGAGGGATGCCATCCAGAGGGACCTGGACAGGCTGGAGAGGTGGGCCCGTGCCAACCTCATGCAGTTC